AGCACAGCCAAAAATAATCGGGCGACCTACCTCCCAAAAGTAGAGCAGCTCCGCCCAGCCACCTGGCACCAAGAGGTAATTAGTGCACGTGGCAATGAGGGTAATTAGGTCTGTGGGATCCAGACCACAGATCCAGGTTTGGAGTTAGGAGGGGGTTCTCCTGGTCCTGGGAATGCGAGTCCACAACTGAGTGCTTGACCCCATTCCCAAGCCCCTTTGTTCCTGGGCCTGAGGGTGCCTGGCTCTGTTACTTCCGGGGTGCTGTTTGTTTAATGAATTAACCTTGGCCTTGGGTAAGAGTTGAGTTGGATCTAAATATATATATAGTTAATTCTAATCCAAGTATATTTTTTCCATTGATTTTTAGAGAGTGTGGCAGGGAGGGAAGTAGGGAGGGAGAGGGACAGATCAATGTGAGAGAGATACATTGATTGGTTGCCTCCAACCTGGGATGAAAATTGAACCTGCAACCCAGGTACATGCCTGACTGGAAATCAAACCCACATCCCTTCAGTGTGCTGGCCGACTCCCTTAACCATTTAGCCACACCAGTCAGGGCCACTTTCACCAATATTGAGTTATCAGACTCCCCTGCCATGATTCCCATACATCCACCCAATGCCAGGAGATGAAAAACCCAAGGGTGCCCTCAGGCTGGGGGAGTCAGAGTTAGACACAAGCATCCCCAGGCCTTTGGGGTCAAGATTGAATCAGAAGGAGGAAGGGTGTTGGGATGGTCTAGAGAAAGAGGAGAGAGGGCTTCTCAGAGAAGAGAACATTGGAGATGGGGCTTTGTGGGATGAATAGGAGTTTTCCCCAAGGCTAAGGTCCAACTGGCTGGCTGCAGGGGAATGAGGAGGAGGAGGACTGGAAGGGCACATAGGGGTTCAGAGCTAAAGATTTAGAGGATATTACACCAGGTTGGACCTGAGCTCAAGCCAGATTGGGACCCTTCAACTCTAAAAGAGAATATCCTAAGAACTTTGCTCAGGATCAAAACCACATGCCCCAAAAGCCAAGGATAAATATAATGTTTATAACAGTGAGCATTTATTAAGCTCCTAGGGTCATGTTTTCTTCACTCAAGGACTTATAGGAAACCTCAGAAGTGGACAGCATTCTTATGCACATTTTACAGATGGGAAAACTAAGGCACAGAGAGGGAAACTAGCTTCCTTAAAGTCACACTGCTGGCAAAAGGCAGCAGGGCTGGGAGTCACTTTCTAGCTCATGTGACTCTGGAGACAACCAAGGACCAAGGCTGGAGCCTAGGAATCCCTTTCTTCTGGAAGCATTTACAGAGTTCCTGCTGCAGATCAGGCTTGCTGTAGGTGTTGGGGCAAAGCTATAGAAGAGATGGACAGTAACTAAATTGTGCCATAACAAATCTAGGTGTCCATGGTGACCCATGCCATGTGGTTGGGCATGTGGTTTTGGGGAAGAATGACAGACTTCCCCTGATCTGGTGAGAGAGGAACCCTCCAGGGAACAGAGAGGATTAAGCTTAAGTTCAAAGGTCGGGTCAGATTTAACCAGGCAGAGGTCTTAAGTCACTCTGCAAAGTGCTTCTCTAGAGCCAAACAAGCCATTTTAGTTCATTTTTGGTCCTTCCTATAACGGGTTGCTCATTCCCTCATGTCCTTCTTCTACCTGAAGGGAAAGCTGTTGCTTCTGAAAGTCAGCCATCCCAGGGTATTGGCCTCTGCCTGCCCTGCAAGGATAGCCCCAAGGAGAAAAAGCCTCAGTCTGTGGTGGGGATAGCAGCTCAGGGCAGCCCCCTACCTGTCTATATCCAGAGGACAGTGAGAAGCTACTTGTGTCACCTGGATCCCCCCTGCCTCCTCCCTCACCTCAGCCCTGTGAGCATCAGCCCATTCTCCAGATGAGAAAACTGACAAAGCCACTCCCTCAATTTGGACTTGACTAGACAATATCAGGTTAGGGCTGCTCAAGGCCTGCACCATCCAGGCCCCTCCTAGAGCCTGATGGGAACCCAGGAAAGGATTCACCTCCCACTCTCTCTCATGCTGTTGCCTTCTGCCCACACAAAGAGGAAATTTGGCCTAGGCCCCTCGCTGGGCCCTCCCCACAGAATGGCCAAGTGGCCCTAGCTGCAAAGCTGTAGCAGTCTGGCGTTCAGCACACCCTGAATGACTTCCAGAAGCCTTGGCCTTGCCGGCGCCTTTCCAGTTACTATTTTTTTAAATTATTTTTTTTGGTAATAAGGAAAAGTCACTCTTTGCACAGAACAGACGGTATTCTCTTTGTTCCCCATAGTGTTCAAGCATTTTGTGGCTTCGGGCCTGAGAACAAAGCCAAATCTTTTGCTTGTGCAGATGCCTTGTGAAGTTAGAAGCAGCCCAGGAAACTGAGTCTGTGCTTTAATTTCTCCAGTGAGGCTGGGAATCCAGGATGGGCTGGCCCTCCAGGAGTGCCCATATCTGGCCACAATTGAACAAATAAACAGGTAACACACATCAGGGATCTCACAGAAAGGGATGGGGGCATAGGGCAGGGTAGGGGAGATCCAAGTCCAGATTGGTCTGACAAGCTTCTAGAGAGTGACCATGGAGCCAAGCCTGGAAGGACAAGGCAGAATATGAGCCTGCAGGAAGGGCATGCCTGGTAGAAGGAACAGCTTGGGCAAAGTCCTGGAGGGAGTAAACTCAGATCTTGGCCTGGGAATAAGTCTCCAGAATTCACCTAAAAGTAATCTGAAGGTAGCTACAAGCTCAGATGTATGATTCTTGTCAGGGGAACATAAATGAAAGAAGAGGGAAAGGGGATGTGACAGATGAGCCGAAAAGCAAAACCTCTGAATTGTCAGAAAGCTTAACTGTGGTGAGGCTCAGAGCTTTGGGGAACTGTGGGCCTTGGGTCTGAGGAACCTGGGTGCCTCTGCCCATGGACCTGATAGCATTGTGTGACTTGGGGCAGGTGATCACAGCTCAGTTCCTGGAAGAAGGATCTGCTCCTGGCACGGTGCACTCCCTCTGACCAGAGGTGCAAACCAGGTGTGGGGACCTCCAGGGGACTCACCTATTTGGTAGGAACTGGACAGCAAAATTCATTCCCTCCACCCTGGATTCTGGGACCCTATAACACATATCATCCAACCATCATTGGCATTGTCACAGTTATCTTGTTACATAGTTACAGTTCTCTGCCTGACCCTCTCCTGTGTCTCTGCCAATCTCCCCCGTATCTCTGTTTCTGGGTCTGGGTCAGTGTCCCACCCTCACCCCAGGCCCCTTACCCACCTTTACCCCACCCCCCAGTCCTCTCCCGATTCCTTCGGGCTCCCCCAACCTCCTCCCCC